CATGTTTAAACTCTCAGACTTGTCCACAGTGATCTTCTAACGATATTTCAATTACAGTCCAGGTTTTCCAACCCCTTCTTGGCTCCCACAGAGATTTCAGCTAGGTTGTAGAGGGCTGGTTTCTGCTCAGGTAAATCATGATTGCCTGTATCCACCTGTCTGTCTCTCCAATTTTGGGAGTGGTGGTTTGCCCTGTGACCTCACGTCTCTGGCAGATTAAGAAGCATTGTCTATTTTTAGTTTGTTCATATTTTTACTTATTTTTAGGATAGAGTGATGACTTCCAAGCTCCTTATATGCCAAACTGGTAACTGAAGTCTATTATTTCTTTCATCCACAGAGTTTTTAGAACTATGCTTTTTTAATATTCTAAATAAATATTTTTATCCTTTTAATTATAATTTTATTACAATATGGTCAGTGAATGCTGCTTTCATGTGTTTGAAATTTATTGATATTTTGTCTGTGGCTTGGTATGTGGCCAGCTTTTTTCAATGTTGAACTAGGAAAGACCTAAAAGAAATTGTGTCAGGTGTAGTGAGCTCTTTATACCTATTTACATAAGAGTTTGAATTATATGGTTCACATGTCAAGCTCTGTGGCCCACAACCTGATCTCTGCTCCTATTCTCAAGAACATTGAGAGTTTACTATTAAAATATAAATATTCTTTTCCCATTTGCGATAGCTTCCATTATATTACCAGAAATATAATGTATGTTACCTTGTAGCACACAGGCAAAGTTCTCATAAGGAGTTCAACATAAAAAGACTTATTTATGCTTTTATAACCAGTTTACTATAACCAGTTTCTTGATCTACTTCCTTCAGTTCATTCATGTGTTTGATTTCTCTTTCCTGCTTGTTGGCATTTCACTAAGACTTTACAATGTTTTGCTTATATTCAGGTATTTTTACTCCTTGAGCAACAGGCACCTCCCGGTATTTTTTTTTTTTTTTTTGAGACAGAGTCTCACTATGTCACCCTTGGTAGAGTGCTGTGGCATCACAGCTCAAAGCAACCTCAACCTCTTAGGCTTAAGCTATTCTCTTGCCTCAGCCTCCCAAGTAACTGGGACTACAGGTGCCTGCCAGAATGCCCAGCTATTTGTTGTTGTTGTTGTTGTTGTTGTAGTTGTCATTGTTGTTTGGCAGGCCTGGGCTATGTTTGAACCCACCAGCCCTGGGGTTTGTGGCTGGCACCCTAGCCGCAAAGCTATAGGCACTGAGCCTATACTCAGGTATTTTGAAAGTCCGGTTTGATTCAATTTAAAATTTTAGTCTGACATCCAACTCAAACATTTGGGACTTAGTTGATGTCATCCCTGCTCACCCAGCTCAGAATTCACCTGTCGCTTGGCGATTGCAGTGAAGAGGGGCTGTTCTTTTTTTATACCTGTTTTTGGTTTTACAGATTTTTCTTCCCTCTAATGCTTCTGGGTCTCCTTTCCTTCTCAGGCAAGTTGTGTTGCTTGGTGACAGACAGTGGGGGTTCATTAGAGGCCCCCCCAGGGGAGTACTATACTGCAGAGTTTGCTAACATAGGCCATTGTCCTCTGGCTCACGTCTTGGACTCGATGTCTTAAGCCTGCTTACCTCTTACAGGGTCCTCTCAGCTTATAGGAAAGTCATGCATCCTTGACACCCCAAATTCTAGTAGGGCACACAGTTTCTACTATCTTCTCATCTTGTTCTAACATTTGGGGTTCAAAGTCTAGGGGACTATGGCAAGTTTCCCCAAGTCTTATTTTTGCCTCTCTTTGTGGGGTTGGGAATTTTCACTGTTGTAGCCTCTGGCTGGGGGGTGAGGTATTAGACTCCCCCCTCTAGGTCCTCCCTAGCCTCATGAACAGTTCTACTGATCTCTCCCCCCCAGCTAGATGTGAAAAAACATGGTATTCTCCCCCCTAAGACTTACTTCTGATTTAGGCTCCAGGGCGTGGTGAGATCCAGGACCAAAAGACTATTTGGCCATTTCTTAGTAAAACCTTGGGGGGGGATACTTATGGCCTACTTCCCCCCACTTTGCAGATCAATCAGATACTCTAAAGGAAGACACTCATTCAATATCTCACTCTTTTTTCATTTTTTTCTCTTATTATAACCTCCAGTTACCTCATAGGATTGAAACATGCTTCGCCTTTGTATACCATGGTGTTCTAATGAATTTACCAGCTTTATATAGTTATTTTAGACATGAAGAAAACATTGTCACATGGCAGAGGCCAACACGTCCCCTGGCCTGCTGTGGAAGAATACTGACATTTAAACTCTGCAGGGCTTATTTATCTTTTTAAACCAGGAAACTATCACTTGACCCAAATAATTCAAAATTTGGACACATCAAATGAGATGATCCAAATGAAATTCATTTATATAGTGCATGGTTAAAGATAACTAGGACTATTTTAAAAATTGTATTTGGTATTATGACAAAAATTGTTTTTGGTATTAAGTTACATAAGTTGAGAAATTCGTTTTGTTTTGTTTTAGAGACAGGGTTTCTCTCTGGCACCCAGGCTGGAATTCAGTGGCAAGGTCATAACTCACTATAACCTCCAACTCCTGGGTTCAAGTGATCCTCCTGCCTCAACCTCTAGACTAGCTGGGATTATAGGCATGTGCAACCATGCTGAGCTGATTTTTAATTTTTTAAAAAATAGAAAGAGGATGTTGCTATGTTCCTCAGACTGATCAGGAATTCCTGGCCTCAGCCTGTTATCCACCTTTACCTCCCAAAGAGCTGGGATTGCAGGTATGAGCAACTGTGCTCAGCTGAGAAGTTTTATGACTATCTCAAAACATAGTTTATTCTTCCAGGAAACAACAAACAAAAATTATCCTATAACAAAATCAAAACTTCATCATGTCATCTGTGCTGATCTCAATTTTAGGAAGAGCACTTCTTAGGACTTTGATTTCTCTTGGATGTGCTCTGTTCTCAGAGTGAAGTAACCTTAATATGTTATGCCTCCATCCTGACATGAAAGAAATGATAAGTCTGTATAGCAGGGTGTTGTGGCAAGGGCCTGTAGTCCCAGCTACCGGGAGGCTGAGGCAAGAGAATCACCTAAGCCCAGGAGTTGGAGATTGCTGTGAGCTGTGTGACACCGCTGCGGCACTCTACCGAGGGCAATAAAAAGAAATTATAAGTCTATATTCTTGTTTTTACCTTAAAAAATGATTTCTACTCAATATTTCTTTTCTTTTCTTTT